GGGATGCAGGGATGCGGGACACGGGACGCGGGACGAAAGGATGCGCGACACGGGACAGAGGGATGCGGGATGCAGGGAGACACGGGACAGGGATGCGGGATGCAGGGATGCGGGACACGGGACAGAGGGATGCGGGATGCAGGGATGAGGGACACGGGACGAAGGGATGCGAGACACGGGATGCAGGACACGGGATACGAGGATGCAGGACACGGGGATGCAGGACACGGGACGGAGGGATGCGGGACACGGGACACAGGACGGAGGGATGCGGGACACGGGACGAAGGGACGCGGAATGCAGGGACACGGGACGGAGGTCATGCAGGACGCAGGGATGCGGGACACGGGATGAAGGGATGGGGGACACGGGATGCGGGATGAGAGATGCAGGACACGGGATGCAGGACACGGGACGGAGGCATGCGGGACACAGGATGCCGTGCCCGCCGAGCGGCGCAGGGAGCCGGCGCAGTGAGCCAGCAGTGCCGACGCTCGCCCCGAAGAGGCCTCGGGAGGCAGCGAAGGTCCTTGTGCAGCTCCGACCCAGCAGCAGTCCCGTCTGGGCACGGTCACGTCCGCAGGCTGTTCTGCCAGGGAAAAACACTGAAACGCTCCCAGTGTTCTTCCTGGCAGACTGTACCGATGGTTTCCTAGTGCCCTGCCCGAGCTGCAGTCAGCACCAGCGTTGTGACACCACTGTGACACGACTGAGCATGGTGATACCAGTGCGGGAGCAGCTTCACCCAGAGCTGCAGGAATCAGCTTGGTGTTGCACATCCTTACTCACAGTCAAACTCGTGAAGCCCTTGGCTGCTGGCAGTGAAGGTCAAGAACAGTTTTCAACCAAAGGTTTTGTACAAATTAGACCACTGATGTCACACTGTCCCATAACATATCCTTTGTTACCTGCTCAGCACTTTAGTGTTGGGAATGACATGGTCATATCAGTGCTCCTGTAACTTAGTGAGACATATCCATATTCTTTAAGGCACTTGATGATTTTGCCAAGCCAAACCAAATATCCAGGTTCTGGATGGCTGATGTCTGTACTGGGAATAAGTTCTGTCAAGCCATCAGAAAGATCCTTCCAGGTAATGCCCCAAAAGATTCTTCTGCTCAGTTACCTTTTTGAAATGTAGCTTGTTTTATCTAGGGGTCTACATAAAAATATGAATCAAAGTCTCACTGGTTAAAGCAACAGCTCAGTATCTTGAGTTCTCAACCTTTAAAATGTCACCAAATAGCTCAAAAGAATAATCTTAAAGCATGATAGTTCATGACAAACATTTTTAGGCTAAATATGTCTATTGTTCCCATTGAGATATTTTTTGGTGCACAGCAATTTAAGTAGGTTTGGGGAACCTGATGTGAATTTAGTATTCACGTCAAAGTTTTTATTAATAGACCTTAATGTAGCATGAAGCAGGTTCTGCTGATGAGCAGAGTGGTCACCAGAGCCTCAGCTCCATCAAACACTTACTGACCTTGAGTGATGCAAACCCCTCTGCAAAGCAGGACAGACTATTAACTTCATCAGGTTCCTCCTGTTATGCCAAGCAGAATTAGAATGAACAAATTACAAGTGTAAGGCTCTGTAAAATAAACAAAGAATCTAATGGGACCAAGATTTGCTGATACTGCATTTGAGTCAATGTCAATAAAACTGAATGTGTAACATAAGTTACAGCCCTAAAATCCATTCTGTTGTCCGGATAGAGATTCCCCTTTGCTTAATGACAAGAGTTAGCAATTAATTTTTAACTCAACTGTCAGATTCCGGTAGTTTTCCAGTTGCTTAAGTCTTTTTAGGTATTCCATAGAAATGTGTTTTCATTTATACAGAAATATTTTGTATTGGATGTCATGCATTCTTTTAAATGCCTGTTGGGAGACACTTTATTCAGGACATTCAGAGCTTCAGCAAAGTGCATAACACACCGGAAATATTCATTACAGTGATTCCCAATTACAGTAGGAATAACTACTCAGCTGCATATTTTAGTAATAGTTATTCATATTAATCATTCCTGGAGTCTGCACCAAGACTGCATTTCTTACAGGGTCTGAGTACAGCCTGATATTCCAGAAATTATCATGGCTATAAAATTCACAAGCAGCTCACCCCTGTGTTGGTGAGCAACTACCCCCAACTGTTGGAATAACCAGTGTATCTGCTGGGAATACAGTGGGACAAAGGAAGTGGCTAGAACACTTGCAGGAGGACAGTCCTCACCCAAACTGTACAATCAGCTCAAGTGAATCGATGTTTAACTGCAAGGTCTAGAAACAACACATAGTCTTTATCTGCCACGGAGGACAAAATTCCTCAAGGACGTTACCAGCTAAAGTGAAACAGGGAAAGACAAATGGTATTCATAATATATTAACACTCAGCACTGGAGCTGAACAGTAACAGCAAATTCAAGTCGTGTTGTATCAAGAACGCAACACCAGAGCAAGAACCAGCCCTGCTGTACTTGCACTGTGCTGCTGCTATTCAGCAGAGTATCTGTCCTTCTATTAAAAAATAAAATAAAAAACTTTTCAAAGGCAAACAAGATGTTGTCATTTTGGTTTCCAGCAAGAGAAAGTACACTCCCTATAGTGTTACCAGGTGTTTCTGGTGAAGCTGGAGGGATTTTGCTGGATAGTTATCAGTCCCTTGCTCTGAACTCCTCCTGTCCATGTCTCCTACTTTTGTAGTATTCCAACGTGAAAAGCCCTCATTGCCATGGCCAGGTCTGTATCAAAGCTGCCACTTGCCCTTTCCATTTCCCCTTCTTCACTTTCGCATGTCAAACACCCAAGAGCTTCTCACACATGGCATAACATAAAATTACATCAGGGTTGGTTTCTTTCCCTTTCTCTCTCAAACATGATTTTTTTTAAAAAATGGGGAAAATACTCCTATAGACAGATGACATGACAATAAAGCATCTTCAAAGTCCTTGTAGAGGTTTATTTCACTCAAATCATTCCATGCTCACCACTCAGCTCACTTTGAGAAACAAGAAAAACCCCACATTTACCATTTCAACCTTCCCCTTTCTCTGACAGATAAATCCTAAGTATTATTACACCAGTGTTTCTCAGCTTCAAGATCAAATTAGCAACAAAAATTCTCCCTCAAACCAAAGGAACAAAACACACATGAATCAACAGGAACTCTCCTATCACACTACCAGTGGGCAATTAGCAAAGAGGAACAGAAGGATGAACATGATCAGACTTCCACTAGGCAAACAAAGCATATCTGTAAAACAGAATTATTGCTAACTGTAGTTCAAAGTATCAATAGAAATTGTGAGTGCCATTTGGTCTTTCATTCACTAAGCACATTGATCTCTGAAAACATGATTCTAACTAATGAGCTGTGTTAAGTGGCTCTTGGATTCTTATTGTGTTGCTATGTGAAAGATGTGGACTCACAGCAGCTGATGAAAGAAAGAAAAGCTTCAGTGCTTCTGCACTCAGACATCAGTTTTCAACCTAATCTCTAGCACAATTCTCACTTCATTTATATACTTAGAGACTACAATTTTCTTAAAGAGTCCTGTTTAAGGGCTTGCCTGAAGTAGTTTGTGTCATCTCAAATAGAAGAATCAAGGATGTTCCCACATAGGGGACCTCACTATGAAGTGCTCCTCAAAAATACTCTGAAAGGTACCAATAAAGGCTACAGCACTTCAACCACTCAAGTGTTAATTCAAACAATGTATCATTTACTTGTTCTAAGAAAGCACAGAGCATGTCAAGATGCAGAAACAATTGCTTCGGTTTTTCTTGGAACTTTCACTGAAAACATCTGTGGTTAAGTTTTACCAATTTAATTGAGTCCATTCAGGTACAAATAAATTTATTCTATCTAATCCATCTTTTGAAACAGATCACAAAATAGAGCTTTCTTCCAAAAATGAGGCATGTACCAATGTCAAGATCCAGTGCCAACAATGGTCCTTACACAAACTGTGTAATTCACTGTAGAACAAGCACCTTTTTTCCAAAGGTTTCAAGACACTTCATAGCTTTGGCTCAATAACATTTATTATTTTAAAACAGTCCTTTGTTGCTAGGCAGAGCAGAGGCATCATTTAAAAGCAAGGTAAACCCAGCACACACTCTTCAGAGAAGCAGCTCCAGCACTGGACAAACCAACATATGTTTTGACACCAAATCTTCTGCATTCAGAGCCTTTTTGAGGACTTTCTGCAGTTTGATGGCAAATAAACAGCTCGTAGGCTAACGAGGCAGCTTGGGTGACACAGTATGAGTTGCCTTGCCTAACTGAAAGGCAAGTTACACTTTCTGTCACTTCAATGTCAGCTTTTTGCAACTGCAATAGTCATAGCTTGACTTCCCCTTTGTACCAAGGAATACAGAAGAATTCTTTAGCTTGTATTTTTGGCAGAGCTCCTCTTCAAAAATCACTCGGCACACATTGATTGTACTCAACAAAAATCAAGGCAAAGCTTTGTAAATCCCTGGAAATGTTCCATTCTGAATTTCTAAAGCCTCTTGCTTTGGGTATGATGAACAAATTGTCTTACAACAGTCTACACTGTACATATGGTTGGCAGGAAGGATTCTTAATCTTCTCAGCCGAAGACAGTAGTTTCATCCTTTTACCTCCAATAAAAATACTACAACTCCAATTACTCCTTGATAGGCAATTTCCAGTTTCAAGCCACATCTGTTTAAAATGTCGCTTTCCTAATCCATTTAAGAAGTGTTATCATGACACCACAAAAGTGATGGAAAGAAGTCATTCAGCATTTTGCAATGAAAAACAAACAAAAAAACCCTCACAAAAACCAAGATATGAAAGACAAACTGCTAAACACAAGGAAATAAATGCAACTCAGCACCAAGTGGGAAATACAGCAGCCTTGAGTGCTCCACATACACTGATTCCTCAGTACTTAGTCATCATAAAACCATGCCAGAACAAAGATTTGCCACAACAGTTTTCTTTTAGAGGTCAAAAATTAAGTTGTGAGAGATCTATAATATTTATTTTTTTCTACATTGTTTGCCTCGCTGTGAATGAGGATGTATTAGGTGCATTTATTTTTTACCATTTCACAAACCATGGTCTGGACACTGGTGATGGAACAGAAGTATTCTGTCAACTTCCAAGTGAATGTCCCCATGGAGCTGCTGCTGTCCAGCTGCAGCACAGCTCACTGCTCTGAGGTTTTGTGAGCATTAATTATCCTCTGTCGTTTCGCTCGGTTCCTGGCCCTGTTTGCTTCATACTGGAAGACAGATAAGGAAATTAATAGATCAGCTGTTATCACTGAACAGATATGTCAAATTTAAAAGTGTAGAGAGCATTTATTACCCAGGAACACAAACAACATATCTGACTGATGCATTAGAAATGCAGCTCTTGTTAATACCTACATATTGGTTCATTTTTCCTTCGAAATTAACATTTATTCGATTAAAATTACATGTTGCTAAGTCTGAGGTTATTAAGCTAAAGAGTATTAGAACATTCTAATAAAGAAGATTCAGTTAATCTTAAGGAAGAACTTAATTACACATCCATCTCACCTACGACAGCTACACTTCACACATGAACTAGGAAATAGTTGCACTGGTGCTATTCCAGAGCACAGGTCAGGCTCTTTTCCTTTTAAAAGGTACTGATTAATGTGTGTCTGCCTTTTGAAACAGAGTTTGTCATCACAGGCTTGGTCTATTTTTGATCCTGGTCATTAATTATATGCACAGATAAAGCAGCACACCAAGAGGAAAGGAAGAAAGGCAAATTTGAGTTGAATGAGGGTAAAGCATTTGGGTTTTTTTAATGGTGAGCACAACAGAGACAGAACTCCAGTGCAAATGGAATCCAGAAAGCCTTCACAGCTTGGATATATGTATAAGACCAGGACACTTTCAAGTGTGCCCCTGCACTAGCAAAAGCTTGTTTCATTGCAACCAAAAAGGAAACATTTTCATGGCTAGAAGAAATGAAAAGTTAAAAATCAATGCATGATTTGATATATATATTTCAGGAGATGCAAATTCTTCTTGTCCTTAAGTTAGAGCATATATCTGTTCACATTTTTCATAGCTGGTATCAAGAATAAAACCCAAGTAACCCACAAATACTTCATTCTCTATATAATGTAACAAACTACTAAGGAAATTGATTCTGGAAAGGATTTGCAGTTTTTCATCCATTACACTGATTGGTCTATAACTGAAATAATGACCCAAAATATTACTTAAAATTTACAGAATGCTTAACTTTTTTCCATGCCAATATTTAATTTTTCAATATCCATGTTTTTATGCAGAATGAAAATGAAGGACCTTTAAAAGCTACAGCTGGACCTATTCAATACTGGTGAACAGCCTTTCAGGGGCTTCCTAGTAATGGCACATCAGTGCAGCCACATTTGAAGAAGGCAGACAAACACACTCATCAAGAACACTTTGAATGTAAAAGCTTCAATGGCAGAACAATAAGATGAATAAGATTACTTGGAAAGAAACTTTTTATGATTGTGAAAGTTGTGTCGAAATTAGAAAGTGCAATTTCAAGTTGAAGATCTGTGGAAAGTTCAGTTCTGTGTTCTGTCATGTAGGCATGACAACCATAAATATAAACCCAGTGACACTTCTGAAAATGTGCCCATTAAGCCACTTATCTACTAAACTCCTGGAGTCCTCATTCCTTCATCTCTGCAGATGTAGTACAGCAATACCTTCATTTAGGGCCTAACTCAGCAACCCATTCAGTAGTTTCAGTCACTATAACTGACTTCACTTATTAATGTTAACCAAGCAGAAGTGACCATTACTGCTTTATATTCTACTCTGTATAAATACCATTACTCCAAAAAAAAAATTGGTTAAAAAGTCAGAAGCAATCTGTGAAGTGTCAGTTCCTCTCTGCAATATTTGTTTGGTTAAAATATGTTTGCCTATTTTTGTGTATCAAAAACTACTCCACACCATTTGTTAAAGCCAGATTTGACTTGACAAATTTATCAGAAAAAGGTTTCAATTTGGCCTCAAATGCCCACACCAGAATGTGCTTACATTTATTGATTTGCACCACTTAGTAAAAAAGCAGCTCTAGTTCTATCCTGCTTTTTATTAAGCATTTCATTCACAATATATTTTTTCTTACCTCCTTCTTCAGGCACTTTCGCATCTCACGGTCAATGTCATTGCAATGGCCAAAAAATTTCAGAACGTTGTGCTGATAAGTCAGGGAGAAAAAAAAAGAATTACAGTTCAAAGGTTTCTTTCTCTGAAACTCTAAATTTCTTGGAAGTCACTTGCATTTTTCAGCATATGCTGGTCTTCTTTTCCTTTTCTTTTTTTTGTGAAAAGTGATGTTTTGTGACTATTTTACCTGAGTAGACAGGAGTTGGAGCTACTCTGAACCATGCTTAAGCCTTGCTGAGAGCTGAAGGTACTCACTATGTCATATAACCAGACTAAACAAGGGCACCTAAGCTGAAGTTATTGAGTCTACATGTAGAACATATATTTTACTGCTCTAGGAGTCCGTCTTACAATTCTCACTCTCACTTGCTTGAATAATGTACAAAAAATACATATTCTGAATTGCAGGTTGTAATGCAGAAAAACAGAGGGAGAGCTAAAGGCATCCTGGAGACAATGTGATTATTATTTCATCATGACCTAAAGGCATCCTGGAGACAATGTGATTATTTCATCATGACCTCGAGAGGCAAAGGACTCAATGCTCCATCATCCCAACCATGTGAAGAATGCAACGTTGGTCCAGAAGATGCAAACACTAGTCTTAAATGACTGAAATGTTAGAAACAGCATCAAAAAATGGGGGACTAAGTTTCTCTAGATCTTGAGGTTAATAAGTAAGATGCAATTACCATCTTTATGGCACAGCTCAGCTGTGGGCCTCATGTATATTTAGGAGTTCCTTAGTTTCTGAAAAACTGCAGGCCTTGTCCTCATGAGGATATAACCTGATATTCACCATAAAGATCTGTCCTCTTAGCCAGAATCAAGTCCTTATGAAGGGGCTTGAGCACAAATGCCATGAGGAGAGACTGAGGGAGCTGGGGTTGTTTAGCCTGGATTAGAGGAGGCTCAAGGGAGACCTTATCACCCTCTACAACTCCCTGACAGGAGGCTGGAGTCAGGAGGGGATTGGTCTCTTCTCCCAGGCAACCAGCAGCAGGACAAGAGGGCACAGACTCAAGCTCTGCCAAGAGAGGTTTAGGTTGGATATTGAGATTTTTTTACAGAGAGAATGATCAGGCATTGGAATGAGCTGCCCAGGGAGATGGTGGACTCGCCATGCCTGGAGGTTTTCAAGCTGAGACTGGATGTGGCACTTAGTGCCATGGTCTAGTAACGACAGTAGGATTGGACTCAATGATCTTTGAGGTCTCTTGCCATCCAGTTGATTCTATGATTTCCTGAAGCAATTCCATACTATCAGCCATCAAACTGCTCTCAGAATGGCTGCTTTTATAAAGACTGCTGTTTCAGGGGGATGCTTGCTGCCATGCCATAGAATCTCATGGCAGTCTGGCAGCAGAGCACACCAGAGTCAGAACACCTGAGGGAGTGGAGGCTTTAGTAGACATTTGCAGGTGCACAATCAGTGGAGACAACTCAACCAGTCTTTTAAACTGATTATTTTTTTCAAAAAAGACTATGAAGAACAAAATCAGATGAGAATGATGTCACTTCCATATTTCAGAGGGAAACCTAAGTGCATTTCTATAGCTGGTGAGCAGCTGAGAGGATTTATACAAGTGATACAGGAACACTATGAAGAATTCAAACAATGCACAACATTTCAGCCAGCAGAACAGGATCAGGAGTGGGTTAATAAAGATTATGACAAACATTTAACTATAGCAGTGCTATAATTAGCTTGTTTATACCTCTGCACCTTATAAAGGGCATCAGATGACTCTGAAGCAGTTGTGTGCAATAAATGGTTACTTTACAGCACTCAGATCTTGCTTTTGCAGCATTTTCATTTCAGCTAATACAGATTTAACTTTGTATTCCACTCCCATACCTGAGTGTTACATTTCAAGGTGAACACTCACATTTCAAGCCAACTCCACTCTGATTAGAGCACACAGCAAGCCTAATCTATGTTTATTTAGCCAGATTCCTACCAGATTCCTACGATGTCAACTTCTTGGCTCAGATTATGAGGAAAAAATGAATCAGTTTCTCAGAAATAGTTATTACATCTATTACAGTTATACAATTGCAAGACAATAGGCATTTCTTTCAGCTGCCACCTATAAAAATTAGTCTACTTAAAGCACATACTTGGCACCAGAGTGGAGTCATTAAAAAAAGAAAATCAAAACAGAGACATCAAACAGGAGTTACATTAACCTCTCCTCAGTAGATGCAAAACTTGATATACAGGGCAGGTTCTAGATAAGGAATAAAGTAAAACAAATTGACTGTTGTGAAAATGCACACACAGGACATCCAGTTACAAAATAATGCTTTTAATCCCTCAGGAGTAGTAATTTAAATCGTAGATGAAGGAAGTTTTGGCATTATAAGAAAACAGCAAGTAGTCTCCAATAACTCATTAAGATCACTAACTTCTTGATATACAGGGCAGGTTCTAGATAAGGAATAAAGTAAAACAAATTGACTGTTGTGAAAATGCACACACAGGACATCCAGTTACAAAATAATGCTTTTAATCCCTCAGGAGTAGTAATTTAAATCGTAGATGAAGGAAGTTTTGGCATTATAAGAAAACAGCAAGTAGTCTCCAATAACTCATTAAGATCACTAACTTCTCAAGGAACAGCAAGTAGTCTCCAATAACTCATTAGGATCACTGACTTTAGATTTCAAGGACCTCAATTTTAAAAGAATATTTCAGTACATTTCCCTCGAATTTCAAATGAAGAAGTCTTGCTCCCTTTCAGCTGTGTGAAAGCAGCCATCTTCACCCCTTCTGCTCTGAGACTGCCAGCACAAATACCCTCTCAGAGCTGAGCACAGACTGACAAAAGCAATTCCTCTTCATGCAAAGATCAACTTCAAACAAAGCCAGGAGAATATAATCCTGTCCGTGACTATTATTGCTGCTACGAGTCCCTTCGTAAGTCAAATTGGCAAGAGATTCCTTTGAATCACTTGCTGCCAAGGAATTCAAGTCCACCTTTCAGTTCCAGCTCTCAAGGCATTTTAATAAGCTACATCATACAACAAGCTCGTGATATTTGGATCTTGACACTCATTTTAAAAAAACAAAAGCATATAAACCACAAACAGTCAACCATCACTTTCAAGGAGTAAAGCAATATTGCTGCATTCCTAGTCAAAGCACAGAAAGCCCAACTATGTATGTATCAAAAAGCAGGACACATCTGGATGTATTTGAAACAGTAATTACAACATTTTAATTTTGTATTGCCTATTCTCTTCTTAAAGGACAGTCCTGTTATCTGGCAATCCTTTTGAACCTATAGTAATTCAAGTACAAGAAGAGTCTTCTCACTTGATTCCAGCAACTGAACACTTTCAGCTACAACATTCAAGTTGCTACCAAAAAACAAATCAACTAACAAAAAAAGGAAAGCAAAAAGTCTCTACAATCTCTCGACTTACCTAATGCATTTTTAGGCAAATTAAAATTTTTGAGCTCAGCAAAAAAAAAGTGTAACTCCTACATTTAATCCCTCTTTCATATGAAATGTCTTCTCTCACATTTTGTGTATTATCAGCCTTGTTTTTCATTCTGTAATGACTATTGAAAAGAAAAAAATACAATCCTGCTCAAAACAGTGAAGCTAACACATGCATTGTCTTAGAATTTATGGATAACTGCATTAGCAAAGTATCAACATAACACCTGAACATGGAGGTGAAAATGTTGTAGATTGCCTGTAACTGTGGAAACCATAGTTTTCATATTCATAGTCAACATTTAAATATATTTTTGTCTCAGTAGAAACTATGAAATTTAACTTTTCCTGCACTAATACAGCAAGAATCTGTCCAGAACATCTATTTAGAGTATACTGGGAAAATAATTAACAACAGTGCAATGATGCTGCAGAAAGTTTTCATTGCAGGGACTAAGTCTAGACATTTACTACAGAGTACATTTATAAAAGGCTTTTAAAGGAGTGAGATGAAGACTGAAGAGACTGAAGTAATGAAGAGCCTGGAGACAATTTCACACCCCTGGGTAGGTGCCTATTCAGAAGATGGAAGTCAAACAGTAATCAGCAACTAGCTCTCCAAGCACTGAACTGTCAAGCACGTTCAGATCCCATCAACACATCTGCTTAGGAACACCCTGAGGCATCTGCCCAGTGGACAGCTGGAACATGGAAATGCCATAAGCACAAAAAAGAGGGCATGTGAAGTTGTTTTCATGAGTGTTTTTTTGAGGGGCACACAGTACTAAAAGGTGCAGATGTTATTTCAGTCCTTAAAACAGGTCCCAATGTGTCGAGCTGTACCAACGTACCTTAAAATTTCCTGTGCATTTCCTAAAGAAATGACTGGCAAGATTTTACACACAGTCATCAGATCCCTCTTTAGTGAAAACATACTAGGCACATTTCATGGCTGTTCTGCCTAGAGGAGGGTTTTCTCTTTATGATCATGTAATAGTCTCACTAATTTATCTGACACTCATTTCCCCAACCCACCCACTCCTTTCTCTGCTCAACACTCCTTACCTCCTTGTGACACTTCTTGAGCAGACTGATAATTAGATTACACTCTTCAGTGTGCAGATGAGGAGACAGGTCTGGATGCATCTTTAGCTATGGATGATTTTAGTAGTACAAGGACAAGAATCTGAGAAAATTTCCACCTGTCAACATTAAAATATGAAAGTGTAACTATAAAGTTTGATTTAACATGTAAGATATTATCACAGTGTTATTTTAACACAAATATTTTAGATCAAAATGCAGCTTAATGAGTATAATTTACATTACACAGTTAAAGACATGAAAGCCAGCACATGTCTGATCTTCTGCACAGCCCAGAGGTTAAAAGTTAACTAGAAGTTTATAATCTTAGCAATCACAGACATAAGCACACAGTTGGGATTTTAATTTTCAAGGACTCTCTAGCAGCATTAATCTTTCTTGAACTGCAGATTATCTTTTCACTCTCCTACTTTCTAGCTTTAAGAAAGCTAAGTGTATGCAGTTTTCCTTCTACCTTCCACAAAGCTGAATGACAACAGGAAGCACAATGCTATTCCATTACAGCACTCAGAACTGGCAGCTTTTTAGTTATCTACAAGCTTTTTTAAAAATCCTAAACCAAACACTGATGATGCTTTACAAACCAGTACTTAATCACTTCATCAAAACAGTAACGATTTATTTTTAATCATGTGCAATTGGAATGTTCCTTCTTGCAATTCCATGTTGTTGCCTCTTGCTCTTCAGTGTGCTCCTCTGAAAAGCATCTGGATTTGTCTTTGACATGAATCCCTCAGATAGTTGGATTTGTCTTTGACATGAATCCCTCACTCCTTCAGATAGTAGAAAGCAGCATTCAGGTTTCCCTTGAGTTTTCCCTTGGCACACTAAAGCAGCCTCACTCCCTTAGCCTTGCTGCCTATGTCAGCTGCTCCACTCTCACAACCCTCTTTGCTTGCTGAAAAGGATGAAAGTGTCATATGAGAGTGGCTGAAATGAGATGGGATTTGTCTTTGACATGAATCCCTCACTCCTTCAGATAGTAGAAAGCAGCATTCAGGTTTCCCTTGAGTTTTCCCTTGGCACACTAAAGCAGCCTCACTCCCTTAGCCTTGCTGCCTATGTCAGCTGCTCCACTCTCACAACCCTCTTTGCTTGCTGAAAAGGATGAAAGTGTCATATGAGAGTGGCTGAAATGAGATGGCATCTTTGCTGTATCACTTCAGTAGCAGGAAGGGGAAGAGAAAAATCTTGTTCATACCAGGACAAATGGGCTCATCTTGGCAAAATCTAACTTGCATGGCCCATACTGCCACTGAATGAATGAGATGCCTATTTGTCTGTTTGCTTACTTAGTATTTTGCCATTTCCCCTTCTCCCAAAGAAATCCCCTTTCCAGCTGCAGAACATCAGGCAAACAGCACTACAACTTGTACTAAGCAGCCACCACTATAAGACTCCTAGACTAATCAAATACAAGTAGTCAGTGGTCAGATTTTGTAACTGCCAAATCCCAATATTCAGCTGCAGTGCTGGCAGCTATAATCTACACTGCTATTCCTAGAATGCACAAGGTATATATGCTGCTGGAAGAGGTACACACACTCATGTACTCAGTGCTTCCCATCATGTGTTCAGCTTAACAAGAGTTAAATTCCCACAAGCAAACTAAATTCTAAAAATCCAAACATTTAAAAGCCCCTTGAGAACCATGAGAAGATGTTCCACATAGTGTTGCAAACACAAGTAATAATTTCTTCAAAAAATCTTCCCCCATACTATCTGGAAGCCTAATATCACACTACACTTGCTCGTAGCAGAGAAGAAGTTGGAAAATGTACAAGTTGCTTAAGCATTCCATCGACAAATTAAGAAATGAACCTTTAGAAATATGACAGCAGGAGCAGGACTATAACAGCAAAGTGATTAAGAACCCTGCTGTGTTATTGCCACCAGCTTTTGATTGCATGCTACACAAAGTCAATATGTTTTAAATTTATCAGTAGATGTTTTTGATAGCACTGGAGTTAGCATTCCCTTGAGAGGGTGACCTGCTCAATGGCTCTGTGTTACTTTAACATGTGTGAACCCAGATGATTATTAAACCTCTTCATCATTCAGCCTCCAACTGAGCTTCCTAAAACTGTCATCCAAGCTGGCTGGCTCAGAAGGAGAAAGCAAGATCAGTGCCCTTGTGAAATAGGAGATTGTACATGGGCACCAGCCAGAAGTCAAACGGAGCATTTCAAGGAAAGCTTCATTATGTCTAAACTAAGATTAGTAATCACTGCCATTGTTTACAAACTATCCTCAGAAAACCTGGCTGAAAGCCACCAAGGCCACAGAGGTGAAGGGTGCTTCATCAATTAAAAGCCTTCTAACAGCTCACAGGGATTTTCCAATGGTACCTCTTGTAGGATAGATGCTACAAATCAAAGGTCCTGACTGTCACAAGCAGTTCATAGATCAGTACTCTGAAATTTTCAAATAACATTCAATATTAGAATCTTTCAAGTTGTTACCTGACATGGCACTAAGTTCATGTAGGCTATGAAGGATTAAAGAACAAAACATCTTACAGTGCTCTTGGAAGGTTTCTCTGGAGCCTTTAAGGACTTTTGAAGTTATGACAGAGTAGTGGTATCAGTGCTCAATATTACACTGATGTTTAGGAATGTCAGATTAAACAGTGAGCTGTGAATGATCAGAGAAGGCTAAAATCTTTTTGCTGGAGGGGAACAACTCAGTCAAAAGAGTTTCAAGAGAAACAACAACATCTGTAAGGAAAGGGCAGGATAAGCTATTGGTTTCCTTAGTTTCTGTTTAATAATGTTCTAATCTAAAATAAGGATCACCAGTTGCCGTTTTACCAGAACTGAAGTCCACATGGCCAGACTTTTATACAGGTGGTAGCTCATACGGAATCTACGTATATAGGAATATTGGGAAAACAAAAAAAAAAATCACAGGAAAAAAATGGGAATAAGCAACATAAATTGCTCTGAGAAATCTACTAACAGAAGTCCTGGATAAAGAATGCCAAGGTAAACATGCAATTGCTGGAGAAGAAATTCTGGCATTGAAGTGGAAGAACAATATTAAGAAAATACAGGAATTGCTTTAGGAGGAAAATGAACTGCAAAATGCTAAGCAAATGTTAATATCTGAAGCGAATATTTGGAGAGAAGTATTGAGATGATCTCACATAATGGCACTGACATACTTCACTGAGATGCACAGAAATGCTCTGCCCTTTAATGTGTTTGATATGAGATTTCTAATTCAGTGGAGTCTTTCGTTCCTTGTCAAAAATTACACTGTATATGTATCTCAATGATTTGGTTAAAAGACCTTAAACATGCAAATTTCTCTAAATTATTAGCCTCTGAAGGTAGGAGATATAAAGATAATTGATCTTTCAACTTCCTTAACCAGTTTCTAAATCCATGCTATTCTTCAGCAGAAAAATAATTAAGA